CTGACCAAAAGACGAAAACGAACTTTTCTTTAAATGATCTAAGTTGGTTTTCTAGGCATGCTCCCATCGAGACACCGCTATTCTGTTACTGAGAAAATGGGCTGAAAATTAGTCTTTTATGCTACTCAGAACAAATATCGTTATGTAGACAAAGTAAGTAGATTTTGGGAACATAACAGTTCTAGTTATCTCTGGTTGCACACAGACTGATAGTTGAAGTCTTGCCTTGCCCCCGAAATGGTATTCTCATCGAAGCCTACTTATTATGGATATAAGTAGCATAGTTAATTATAATGGCAAAATATAAGTTTGCCTCATCGGCACTTCCACTATCAAATGTGATATGGAAGAGGGCTGGCCTTCCTTGAAAGTCGCGTTTACTCCGTAACCCAGGGGCACTCTTGGCAAGGGGACATGTTGAAATTATGCATTACACTGGCCGGGTTTGAGTCCCGTTTGGGGTGCTGATGGACGATCAGGCAGGTCCTTTATTATGCAATGTGACTTAAATTGACTGGAAATCTTATTCAATATATAATGAATAGACACATCCTTATGACAATTGCAGACTTAAGTAAAGGTAATAAAACTAACCGACCGGTCTTTCCTTGCTATGCATACACATCAAACAATTCAACTAACGGAGAGCATAGATAGACTTGAGTACTTTCTTATAATATCCAACTATTTTGATTTACACCCCTGCATTGTACGTCCGCATATACATAACTAACTGATGGCTGGTAAAGAAAAATGTTGTCTCTTCACGATATCTATCCAAATTCATGTATAATTGTGCACATGAGTGTCTGCGTATGTACAAACGCCAATTCTCAACTAACTGGCGGAAATATTTGGTTATTTCTTTACTATGTCTATCTATAATGACCGGTGCATTATATATCTTTACATGTATTCCCTCACATACACAAGTAAAATGGCAGATTATATTTTCACTTTATCTATCTATATTTAACATATATTTTTGCGTATGCGTGTGCGTACCTATATACATGTGTCGGCAAATAAACAACTAACTTGCGGCAATTATATAATTATTCGGTTATTTCTTTATCATGTATGTCTTTATTTATGCCCAACTGTGTATTTATGTGTATGCGCGCGTGCATTTGTATGTTCAAAAAACGAAACAAAGCTGATAATCCCGAGTAATCAGAACAGATATTCGCCTACTAAATGCACTAATTTTAATAATATAATTTGCAAAGAAGACTGAACTTATAGTGAAGATGAAAAAAAAAGAGAACTGCTTACCCACGGAAATGAGGATAGTTAAGCACGAAGTTATAGGTTTAGAAGGCTAATTTGGCCAAACTCATAACCAATACGGCAGGTATACCCAAGTGGTAGGTTTCAAAGCCTTCATTAGATCTATTCATAGAGCTTTGAGATGGCTTAGGTGAAGCACAACAATGTGAGCACTGGCAGTTGACTATTCTCGATAGAATGAATGGAAAGCCTCAGGATAACATGTCGAAAGGCCTTCTCATCCACACTGCATCAGGGCATATACTTTGACTCGGTCTCGTGCTAATTCCCGACGCGATGTGAAATCGAGTCGTCTGCTTTAGGCAGCAAAGAATTCCCTGCCTAATGAATGCCAGTCGATCTTCAAAAGGAAAAATGTACCTTTTAAGCAGGGACATTCATAGTGTGCATAACCTGAATGTGGCAAACCAATATTTTTCAATATACTATACAATGTTACTTGACGGGAAATAAGTAGTATATAGTTTATTTAAATTAAATAATGTGGAAAACTCAATTATCCCTCCTTCTATCGCTTAAATGGCCTGGAGTAGCTAAGCGGGAGATTAGGGGGCCAGTTTTAATTGTCAAACTAATCAACTTCCTGAACAGGATGAATGGATGTAGCAAAGCAAGTAAAGAGCCTGCCTCTGCTCATTGGGTATATTTGGAGGGAGAGAGAGATTCGGGTAAACCTTCGAGCCCGTTGAGGAGGCTTGATTTGTATCGTATGCAGCCATGACTTACGAGCACTGCAGACGAACAAAACATGTAAAATTGGCCAGCTGGTCAGGCATTAACATTACCGGAAGATAATACATGAATAGCGGAAGTTCGGTCCTACTCACAGCCTACTCACTCCTTCTTATGCCTGTAGAATGAGCGGAAAATCGACAGCCACATCACTTGGTCGCGCCAGTTGGTTGGGGGTTTGTGGGTGTAACTGTGTGCGGCCGCCATCTTTGGCCTCGTGTCTGAAGAAGTCTGCCAGCAACTGTTTTGGCGTTTCGACGATGTCGGTCACGGGGAGACGGACGAACTTGTTGCAGTCGAAAAAACAAGCCTTGCGTTTGATTTCCGGTGGGACAAGTTTCGAATCACCTCTTTCCCAACTTGTAATCCCAACAAAAAGATGGATTTTCGAGAAAATCTGCTCTTAGGTAGACGATTGGTAGTGCTCAAATAGTACATTTAAGTTAAGACTCAAAGCCACCTCAACCAATCACAGACAAATCGCAAAAGTGTCCAAACCAACTTTTGTTAAGCTTGTGCAAACAAAAACCAACAACCAACAACCGGTAAATGTTTATTCAAGCAAGAGATATGCCAGACTGGTAATTCTGAACAGGTCGAAGCTACAGTCCACCACAAGCCGGGATGAGAATGTCTTCTGGGAAGGCAAGGTGACATGGACTCATATGATTGTTGCGAACTTTAACTACCAATCCTTCATCACATCAAAAGACTAGGTTAAACATATTTCAAAAGATAAAGTCAACTTTTGCGGCAAGAGCCATTATTAATGACTTCCGTTGAGCCATACGGTTTTACCGGCGAAAGCCGGAATATGGATTGAAGGTAAAAGTGCACAATCCCCATAAGCACAACAATACCTGCCCCTAAAGGTGTTGTTCTCCCTCCAACCCATTCAGTTTGCCAAGGCAACGCATACCTTTGGACGGTCTATGAATAAGAGATGATCATTGCAGTAGCGACAAGAGTCTCCTCCAAAGTCTCTTTCATTTTTGCCGACACTGTGTAATAAAGTAATAAAAGATAGGGTGTGTGTGTGTGTGTGTTTGACTTCTTGTAAATAACTAATAGAAAAAATCAAAATAGGAGCATGTATTTTTTCAGAAGGTCGTTTACATGCATAAAGAATGAGCTGGCAATGCGCAAAGATGTCTACAAGCAGCGAATGGGTAGGAGTTTTTTTCTGCAACGCTTAACTAAATGATCCCACCGTACTTTTTTTTCATACATTCTCTAACATGCCCGTAAAC